GGGGGGGGGGGGGGGGGGGGGGGGGGGGCGGCGGGTTGAGGATGTGTTGTTTGGAATTCAATGGGATTGAATGTTGAAGATAATTACAGTTCCTTTTGACCGGGGGGAATAAAAGGTTGGGTATAAGCAAAGGGTTTAAATAAGTATTTGTTTGACCAGAATCGGAAGATGTCTGGTCAAGTATTTTGGTCCACTGAAAATGGCTAGTTGGACATTGCACTAATAAATCGTCATATTTATGCTAATTTACGGTGAAGACTAGTGTGTCCGTTGCAAATCAAGTTCTGTTTTTTTTTTTTTTTTAATGTATGTATTGAGTAATTCAGATTAAAAGATAAAATTTAAATGAATTATTATAATTAAAGTTAAATTAAATTTAAATATAAATTATGTAGTNTTTTTTTTTTTTTTTAATATATGTATTGAGTAATTCAGATTAAAAGATAAAATTTAAATGAATTATTATAATTAAAGTTAAATTAAATTTAAATATAAATTATGTAGTAATATAAATAGTCAAATCTAAAAGATTTTAGTTATTATTTTGTTTTTTTAAGTAAGGAGTTTAAGCAACTCTAACATGGGGCTGTGCTTTACTATTTTTGATTATGATACCCAAAAAAAAATAAATAGGATCCTACTTGATACCTCTAAATTTTACAATTTTAATAAGTGTTTATTATTTTTCTGAGTTATTTTATATAAAAAAATTTATAATTTTTATGGGTATTTTTACTATTTTTATATTTTTTATTTTACCACAAAAGTGATAAAAATACTCACAAAATTTATAAAAAATAACAAAAAAATAATAATTGTAAATGACAGTACTGAAATATTTTTTTTCCGGCACCATAGACTACTCCTTCGGCTAAATAAGTAGGATACATGTGTTTTTATTTCTGTAATTGTGCATGTGTCTTCAACTAACTTGCTTTTTATGAGTGGCCAATGAGATGATTGGGGTTTTATTTTTATTTTTTTTGAAAGAGCAATACAAAGGAATTCATTACTCAAGAAAGTTCTGGTTACAATTAGAAGATAAAAAAGTCTTGAGCTTGGGGAGAGCAACCCAACCAACTCAACGGAAGTGAGTTAGATACCGTCATGACTGTAATTCAATGAAGTGCTTTGTTAAGAGCCTTTAACTTGTAAAGAAATNGAGTGGCCAATGAGATGATTGGGGTTTTATTTTTATTTTTTTTGAAAGAGCAATACAGAGGAATTCATTACTCAAGAAAGTTTTGGTTACAATTAGAAGATAAAAAAGTCTTGAGCTTGGGGAGAGCAACCCACCCAACTCAACGGAAGTGAGTTAGATACCGTCATGACTGTAATTCAATGAAGTGCTTTGTTAAGAGCCTTTAGCTTGTAAAGAAACNGCTTGGGGAGAGCAACCCACCCAACTCAACGGAAGTGAGTTAGATACCGTCATGACTGTAATTCAATGAAGTGCTTTGTTAAGAGCCTTTAACTTGTAAAGAAACCTTAAATTTAGAATATTAGCAAAAAGTCGAATATCACTAACATAGGCACGGATATCCCATGGGGGGAAAGCTTCAGAAGAACTTAACTTGAAATAATTGGGGTTTGAAATGCCACTATCTGCTACATGTTTCGATGCTCATATATATCTATAATATAAAATATAACAAATTTTAATAAATTTATTCGATAATTTTAAATAAATTNATATCACTAACATAGGCACGGATATCCCATGGGGGGAAAGCTTCAGAAGAACTTAACTTGAAATAATTGGGGTTTGAAATGCCACTATCTGCTACATGTTTCGATGCTCATATATATCTATAATATAAAATATAATAGATTTTAATAAATTTATTCGATAATTTCAAATAAATCTATTCAACAATTACCAACATCTCTCTAAAAAGTATTTACATTGCACAATACATTCATATACGAATTACTCAAAATATATATATATATTTGGTAACGTTGAACCTTAGCAAGACTTGGCTATTTAGACTTATTCATAGGATAGTAAAATTTGAATCCCTGCATCACATCACATGTATCAATTAAGTTTGGAAGGCATGAGCGATGGCCGAACCCTTGATATTTGGATCTTTGTGGTTTGCCCGAGGATCCGCACAGGCTACCACTCATTTTTTTACTATTGCAATATTTTTTTAAATTTTTTCTTAATATTCTAATCCTGACAACTCACAATAAGGAATTTTTTTAAAGAATATTAGATATTTTAATATAAGAAAAGAAAAAAAGAAATATCTCCTCTCAAAATCTAAATAATATTCATTAATTAAAATAAAGTGGCCCTTTTGTGTATTCATTGATAGGACTATTATCAACATTTTATGAAATTTTTATTTATCAAATCAATATGGAGGTTAAATTAGTAAGTCTCACTAAATTTTTTTTTTCCACATTCATTTAGTAAACAAAATTTAATAAGCACATATTTCAGTAACACAACTTCAAAAAAATAATGGTGTTTTAATAAATAAATTTGAAATTACGGTATTTCAATAAAAAAAAATATAAAACAATCTAGTTCTAGTTTTTCATGTTATAAAATCCGAAGTAGTGTCCTTGACTAGAGTTCATGATTTTTTTTATTATTTTGGTCTTTGTCAATTTAGGAGAGCCAGAGAGGTTCCTTTCAGGGAAGATTCATAAGTTTTTGTTGTCTTTTTCAGAGTTTTCATTTAATATATATATATATATATATATATATATTTTTTTTTTTTGCCTGGAATGTATGGTTTATGGAATATTGGTTTTTTATTTTTTAGAATTCAACTCACTCAAGTTTAACGGCTTCCACTGTAGTTTGAACTGAGTTAGAGGATGTTCACGAGGGACAAGGATGATTAGGCTTTACGGAATATGAGAAGAAATTACACCCAAAATTTCTGAATTACCAAAAAAGAGTAAATTACATTCATTTTTCCTGAAATTTAGTCAAATGACAATTAGACCCCTTCTTGTATAAAAAATAACACTGATCTTCCCCGTCAGTTACTTCCGTTCCTTTTGTCCAATAGAAATAACAAAGTTTAGGTATTGCCCTTTATCTAAAAATTCTCTACTTTTGTTAACTTTTAGATAGTTTTGCTATATCCAATCATACCATGCCATGTCATGCCACAATAAAACACTAAATATAAATGAAAAAATCTTATTGAATTGCTGACATTGATTTTCAAAAAGATATATAATATAATTTATTCTATTATTGAAATAAATTTTGTACCAAAAGTTAGACCAAANGATTTTCAAAAAGATATATAATATAATTTATTCTATTATTGAAATAAATTTTGTACCAAAAGTTAGACCAAACTAATTAATTTATAATTGAATTAAATTTATTTTAAATTTCAAATAAAAACTAATTAATTTTGTTAGTTAAAGTAATTTTGTCCTTAAACCCATTCAAAATCTAATTAATTATGTCAATTAAATTATATTTATCTCAAATTCATAACAAATCTACTCAATTCAATTAATTAACCTAAATTTTCCTCACAATTTAAATCAATTTCATCAATATACTTAATTTTGTACCCATAATTCAAACTTTAATTTAGAGACAAAATTAATTATGTAATAACATATTCGGTTTTAATAGGTAATCACACAAAAATACAATTAATAGGTGTTTGTTTGGAAACTAATAATATTAATAATATGAATATGGTATGTTTGACAATGAGTTTAGTTTGTCTACAATCTAAATAAGGGTAACATTGGCATTTAAAAAAATTAGGTTGCTTACATCATCAAATTATAGTCGTCTCTTTAACGGCACATTAACGGTTGGAGGAATCTATTATAGACAACTATAGTAAAAGGGAGCTCATTGTTATTTGACTAAATCTTAGCAGAAGTGAATGTAATTTACCCACTAATTTTTCATTATTATACTTTAAATGAGTTTTCTCAGTTGGTCCAAGAAATTCTTCTTGCATGCTATAACTAAATTCAAGTCTTATAACTAACCTATGGACTATTCTAAGCATATTTACCTCATTCCACATTGATTGTAATTCTTATGAAAAAAAACACTGGGTTGCTTGAAAATATAGAGTCACCCGAGAAGACTATATCTTTGGTACAACTTTAACTATGCCACACAAATCCAAAAAATAAAAAAAACTTTAACTATATCACATTTAAGATTGATAGTTGAGCTGAGTTACTCGAACTCGATTAGCATAGGCTTCGACTTGAGTTTTAAACTCATTTAAAAAACGACCCTAAAAGGTTAAACTCAAACTCACAAAGTTCGACTCAGGTTCCATGAGTTTTGGGCTCAACTTATTTTCTAAATGAGTTGAGCTTAGACAATTTTGTAAGTTCGTTTTAAAAAATAAACTCAACAGACTCAACTCAAACTCGTAAATCTCGACTCGAATATCAGTTGTAGCCACATTTACTAAAAGAAATATACAATCTCATTTGTTTTCATTTCCTTTTGAGTAATGTTATACTGACTAAATTTTGAGACTAAATTTGGAGCCCAAATGACATGACAGCTAACCTGAGCTTCTTTATTTGGTACCATGTCATTTGGGCTCTAATAAAAACTTCAAATTGTCAGCTGTCATGTTATTTGAACTCTAAATTTGATCTCAAAATTTGATCAATGTACCATTACTGTTTCTTTTCTGGTATAAATAATTTTTTTTCTATCCTTTTCAAATATAAAAAACCTTTGTTGTTCAACAAAAAAAAAAAGAGAATTTTTTTTTTCTTGTTGAAAATAAAAAGTGAACAAGGAAAAAAAA